AAAGCCAAGACAGAAGAAGTCGACGAACCGCCGATTAAGGATCTCTCGAAAGGTACAGAAAGTCGAATGTCGAAGGTTGTTTCGAAGGGATAGTCGTTGGTTGACAGGACCCGTTCCAGCCAAATCGAAAGACCCAATCTACTTAAAAGTGTCCGAATACGAAAAAAAAAAAAAAGAAGAAGAAGAGCGGAAGATTCTCTCTGTTTGCTTGTCGCTCGAGCAATAATGCGTATTTCACAGATAGAATGATCGATATCGGTATAAGATCGTTTCAGAGATGGTAAATCGTGTTCGAGGAGAGATGTTAATCAGTGATGTGTTTCATCGACTTAACGAAAGATTCCTAAAAATGAACAATTTGGATGTTTCATAAAATCCGAATCATCCACATACATAGTTCCAATTACATTGATTTTTATTTAATTTTTAAGGCAAGTAGCAACAAACTCCAATTTCATATCGCATAATATTCAAACATATGTTATCAACGTGTCGTCTCTAAATGCTTTTGAAAACATATTCGCAAAAGTGCAGATTAGATAGCAGATGATTTAAAACAACTGTCGTCATCTGCACAAAGTATGTTTAACGATCGTACTATGTACGTTTATGATCGCCGAGTATGATACGATTAATGCAAAAACTAAAAACTAAAAAAAAAAAAAGAAATTATAGATGAGCATCGACGCAAGGAGTAATACGAGACATTGTCGTGTACCTTTTGAAAAAGAAAGTAGTAGCGATAATGTCGAGGAGGCATATTTGGCTAGCAAGGTGAAGAGGGAATTAATGTTCGTTCGTTGGTGAAAAAGAAAAGTAGTTGGGGTATCACACGCGAGATAAATTTTACGAGAGCTGTACTGTCGCCGTATGTGCTGGTATATTTACCTCGTTCATAACACACACGGCGCATAGTTCCTCGAGGCCGTGTATCGCAATCGGTCAGCCAAGCCGAGATAGAATCTTTTATAACCACTGCGGGGAGGAACGTGTTTATATCCGCGAGCGATTGCAACACGATATGTTAATGCCCCGAGCCGTACTCTTCCCACGTATCGGCGGTGTGCGCGTTTCCAGCCCGTTCTGGAAAACATTCCGGACTGACACACGTGACGTCTCCATCGAAGCTTTCATGAAAGTGTCACTGGACGATGGATGAGACGACATAAATGTCGTGCAGCGGTGAACGTTTAAAAAACGAATGTCAAATGTATCGCTCGCATTCTGATTTTATTGTATCTATGTCCATTGATCTAGAATAAATGTGATGTACCAGTTTGTATCTCTCCTATACGATACTCTCTACGACACCACCACGGTTTAAAGCCGAGTTTAAAGCTCATAATTTTTTCCGCGCAATTTTTCCTAAAGAATATGAGCGTTTCGGAAATTTTATCGGCTATTGTCAAAGTAATAACTATTAACGCCAACAAATAATATCGCCAGAGAGTTTAGAGAAACGTTTACTTGCGAGCTGTAGCACCGCGAAAACCACCGCGAGATTATCATTTAATGAATGATGGAATACAAATTAGATCCGCCGATGATGTCGTTGTCAGTCGTCATGGCAAAGTGGAAGGCGCCCTCCCCCTCTCAAAAAAAAAACGTTCACGATGATATCTCGCGGCAAACAAGCTGGCACGTTAATGAAGACCCACAGTGTGAAGAAAGGGACGAAAAAAGAACCACGAATAGACCGAAAGGAAGAAGGAAAACGACGAACCAAGCAAATACCGTATGATGACAACCCCGGATGTGTCGATAGCATCTCGACATTAAGTAACCAACCAACGCAAGTAACTTACGTTGTATGTACGTGTAAGAAAATCTACATGCGTCAATATTCACTATTTACGGAGGGATAAAACTTCTAAAGAGGATTAAGTAAAGCTAAACAATCCATATTGTCGCGAGATTGATGCACACGGATGAGCACCATCGATATTTTTATTTAATACTTCAAGATTCCAGTCCTTTCTCATTTATACGTTTGAAAATACAATTAGTTGCCTTGCGACAAAGTTTGCGAATTTTAATACTACATCATCTCACACCAGTTTCTTCATGATTCAATTCAGTATTGTTTTAATTTAGTTATCATCAAATTTATTAATAAAAATTGACGAAAGAGTCTTGCGCTGTCTTGCTCTTATCGCGCGAAGATAAATCAATGTATTATATCGTTTAACGACATTTTGGAGTTTCGGAACACATTTACGCGACGCGAAGTGACTTTTTATCCGTTGCAATTGTTAATGTATTCGACACTCGTATCGTTTCCTCGCTTCTCGAAGCTCGCGGACGTGCTTTCGCGTTAATGACATACACGTAGGTACATCGCAATAGCGTTGCTAAGATTGGAAAGAGAAACGAGATACGCGACATAATGGATAGCAATGCATCGTTAATTCTTTCGATTTTTGTTAATCACGCGTGTGATTGTATCGTACTCGGTGTATATCGAGAACGAAAATGTCATGCGTGAGATTTAATAATCTAATCTCACTTGATACAATAATTCAACTAATCGATAATTATAAATGTCATCGACAACTTATCATATGACTGTAATTTATGTTGACAGGCATGATTTGTCTAAGCACGATGGTGTTTCCGCGAATCTAATGTATGTCAATTAAGTTTCTTTTAACACCTTTAATCGATTACATGTTATTAAAACATGTATATTCACGTTCATCACGCGCGTTCTCCCGTTTTATAAAAGGATAATTTACATTTTCCGAGATGTCGACTGCGTTGATCAGAATAGCTATCGGATCATGCTTATATAAGAAAGAAAGAAAAAAAACCAGAACGACGAGACAGGCGGAGAGCGTATCTTTACGGACGTTCTCCAAACGCGCGCTATCATCGCTCGGTGAAAGCGCCAATTGCGGATTATCATGTTCCTGTCGCTGCGCGCAGGAGAGCTATCAATTTTTTTCCTCTCTCGCGATCTCGCGTGCGTCAACGGTTGCGCTTTCTATAGTGGCCACGTGCGAAACTCTCGGGTTCTACGCGCTCTCACGACAGATCTCGCGCGCGGAGATTGATATCTGGTCACGAACTAGCAGTAGCCCGTGCGCGCAATACACGCACGCATATACAATTCGTGGATATTAAATCTGAAAATGACTTAACATTGTCAGATGTGTGTATACATATACATATACGAGAAAGCGGGAAAAATTTTATCTTTAAACAACCAGGAGGAAGATATGTAACGTATTAGGTAACTGGTAACACATGTTAATATGTATTATTCGTTTCTCTTATAAAATTGCTTTGCTCTTTATGTGTGTGTGTTTTTTTTTTTATAATTATATAAACATTTAGAAATATTCATTTTAAATATCAGTGACAAGCAACACATTTCTATTGTATTAGGCGATATTGCGTTACCTTGATGAAGATAAGAATTGATCAAAGTTATTTTGTAAGTTGGAAATAGCAGAAAGATTATCCTTCATTCATTATAACTCTTCGTTCCAGTAGAACAATAGTAATTTAATGATTATGCTTACGATCGTAAATTCCAAATTTTGCGAATATTACTTTCTAAAAATTAATTAATCACTTATGTTTTTATGCCAATCATGGATATATGACACAGATAAAGGATATTATTAGGCCATTCACCTTACAAAGAAAGAGTCATGAACTTGTACGACTAATTGTAAGTGCCTGGCGAAATTAAAAGGACGGTGGCACGTGCTGAAAGAAACTCGCGCGAGACCCTCGTCAACATTTTTCCGCGACAAATCTCGTGCAGCAGATTCGTATCTCGTCACGAAATGGCCGTTGCACGCGCTCCGTTTGCATCGTCGAATATTATAGCAACGACGAAGATGCAACAAGATCGTTTCTTAATTTGAACGTTACGCGGCACCATTTCAGAAGCTATACTATTCATTATTTTCTCCTCTCTCGCATTCTCTCTTTCTCCTTTATTATGATCAGTCATCATCGGTTTCATCTTCACGCCCAGTCGGTCGTTTGGCGTAGCTCACACTTATGATTGTTATTGATCAACGGTTTTGTTTCTCGCCTGCGTGCACGCATGTATATGCGTGTATGCCCGGCTGAACTGGCACGCCACGCGGCACTATAATGTTGGCACGACAGAACGAATATAGAGAACGGCGGACCTTAATGAATCTTTATGGGATGATGTCGTGAACTTGTATACCCTCTCCGGTGACTGACTGAACCCGGTCGCGTTAACCATTGGTGCGGTTCGTTCGTCATAACCGAACTTTTCTTTCGATACTACAAATATTATCTCGTTATTACCTACTAAAGGTAGAATAAATCGTAGCAAATATAGAGAAATACATTTTTCTCCATATCGCAGTAGAATATAACAAGTGATAGAGCGCCTTTTTGCTCCGAAATATTCGTATAAATACAGTGGGACTAGAAAAATGTAATCTCCTATATGTGTATCGCGCCAGTGTAGCTTTGGAAAAAAAGTCATTTGTGCTTAAAGAAATAAAGCATAAAAATTGATTATTGTTGTACAATAATATTCTCGTTGACTACGCCAATGCAACGAACTGCTCATTAGGTGCTCGACGGTGGCTTCGGCGCGAGTTTGATGGTATAGACGTTCGCGTCCGTGTTCATAAAATTTGAAGGGCGTGTAGAAACAGTCCGTGGGGTCCCAACTAGTCGCGCGTCTTGATTGTCATCAACTCGTTCGTCGCGTGTTATTGTCATTAGCCCGCCTAGCCGTCGTCACCCGCGCGAGTCCTGCCTGGATATGTTTCTCGCCCCACGCGCGGAAGACCTACTTTAAGTCCAATCGATCCGAAAATTTTTTACAACTCGTCACCTACGCGCACGTATATTTAACCCAAAGTGACCTTTACATTAAACATTAAATTATTCAGAAAAGGACAACTGCGCGTTGTCATTAAAAAATCAATTATAATGCGTATAATAGACATTTATACATGTCGTTATGTTACATGTTTCTCCTTTACAACAATCAAACTTACCTGGGTCCGATGAATCCAAGCTGGCTGGCGCTTGCTGACTGAGGGGTCCGGGTGTACCACCACTTCCGGGGCTGCGGGCATCATCGTTAGCACCCGCGCCGGGATACGAGAGCGACGAGGAAGGCGGCCTCTGAAATATAGAAAACATTGATTTTTTTTATACCATTTTATTTTTCTCATTTTCGCGCGCGCATTTTTATATCTGCATTTACAAATTTATTTCTTAACATTAACTATAACATGTGTTTCATCGGTATCGACTTCATCCAGACAATTTCAAAAATATTGACGTTTGAAAATCAATTTTTAATCGCATATACATAAACAATAATGAACATGTAAAGATAACGTGATTGATTTGATTAATAAAATATTCGACTTTTTGAATAAAATAAAAATAAGAAATTATATTATGTGTATTATTTCGGTGTATGTATTAAAAAAAAAACATTAATTGCATATGATTCCACAAAATATATATTATCAAATTAATATATATGTATGCATGATATAATATTTAAACAATTTATATTATCGAGCGTTCCAGAATACTAAATCGCGTGACATAGAACGTTAATTTTTAATAGTCTTTTTTTAATGTATTTATTCCAAGCTTTGATTGTTAAAAAAAAATTTCGCAATTTGTCGCGTATACTCTGTACCTACACTGACCATTGATGATCCACGCGTGCGTCAAGCCGATTTCGATCTCGATTAAAGACGGAGCACACGTATCTCTCCACGAAAATGCTGCCGGCATACTTAAATGATTCGGGGGAGCCCGACAAGACGCGCACGACTTACGAATCAACAGATTTACTGGGAGAAGCCGCGTGCGCGACGAATGTCTGCCGTAAATATTCAATCGTTTATTCCGTAGGTGTAGCCGTGTGATAATGACGCTCGTAGAGAATCTCCCGCCGTAGGAGGAAAGAAACGAGACGTCTACGGATCTGCGTCGGGACACGCGCGGAATTACTTTCGCGCGCGGAACGTAAGTTTGTTTTACGAATCAGTTCGACGGCAATGCACAAAGCACTGTACGTAAAAATACGTGACTGCAGTTATAACATATAAATGACTGATGAACGAAATAAATAAGAAAACGTTTCAAATTGTTTACGAATGTATATACAAATAACATTTTCGTAAGATAACAAAGGAAAAAGAAACATCAATGAGTTCAAGCAACTTTCTGCCTTGGCAGAATTACTTGGCAGCATACAAACAACAAATCGTAGATCAATCTAAGACAATTCGTTGCTTCTCGCTAACATATTCCGAAGTGTTATTATACAGCCACGGCGGGATGGAAGCACTCATTGAATGATTCTTCATAACGATCGTACACGATGAACGAACGAATTCTTTCTCGTCAGGGTCATTGACTTCGTTTTTCAAATAGATTCGAGCACAAATTTTTCCGCTCAAATAATATATATCTTAATAGCGATAATTTCGAAAGTAACTTCTGTATTTTTCATAAAACGTACATCTAAAAAAAAAAAAAAAACGATATTTGACAGTTTATTGATCTCGTCCCGAGGTTGAAGGGCAAGAATTTGAAGCAGGCGAATCTCTCGATATCACGAAGCGAAATGTCTGGGTATATCAAGTCTGGCCAGGCAACAATGAGTGACAGCTACTCCCACATGCTGTCATAAGCGTCATCTTCGCGATAATATACCAACTCGCTCCCTCCCTCGATTGCCTGCTCTGGTATCTCGTCTGAAATCGTTGACATGGTCAACTCTAGAGGATTTGCTAGAGCAGAGACGCGTCACATGAATTTTCTGGTTTACAGGAGCCAACCTGAATTTATATATTACTAGAATTCTTGCTAGATAAAAGTAAAAATGACTTTGAGTAAAAAAAATAATGTACAATATTTTGTATAATAAAATAAAGATATATGGTTGCAGCTTCAAGAGAGAATAAAAAAATATAAAATATTTTTTTACTTTTTAAATGTGTTTATTTTAAGAACGAATAATTTTTGAATAAAATAAATGGCTCACATGAAATAATTAAACAAAGATTTTCGTATCAGAAAATCTCAAACAAGCACATAATCTGCAGTGTGAAATGAAAAGTCACTCTCTGATTTGATTAATTACTCGCAATCCTTGAATGACTATTTACTTAGGGATGCCGATAGATTGCGAGTACGAGCAAGTATAAATACGAGAGTAGTAACAAGTAAGGGGACATTAATAACGCATCGGTTGTCGTCGGACCGCTTTCTGCTAGCACCTAACGTGAAACGAGAGTTGTCAAAGCGAATAATCTCCAATTCGTGCTCACAATAATTAGTCGAGTGTGTGATGTCGTTTCAATAAGACTAACCTTGAAAAAGATTGTGTCAAGTTAATCGAAAACTCGTGCGATAACCGCTGGAATTCTTAAGCAATTTCTCAAACATTATTAGACGCATCGTTAATTTAACGTTAAGATCATGAAATGACAACGCAATTAACGACAATTATTGAGGATTTTGTGGAATGAATATTCTCATCAAATTATCATCATCCGGTCGAGAAACTTCGGTCGAACGATGAAAGCTATGTATAGTGAAGCTGTTTACGACGCGACGCGACGTCGCGTTTAGAGAGATATAGCTCACAGTACCTATACCTTCAAAGCTGACGTCACTTCCTACTAAAGGCTGAATCGCCGTTTTTTAAGTGGCCAGTAGGGTCCACCGCGTGACTCGTGTCGATGCAATGATAAACGGTTAACGGGTCGACGAGCTTACGCGCTCTCGTTCCACGTCGTTGCCTCTCGCTCGCACGTTCATCCCGTCGTCCATCTCTGTTTGTATCTGCCAGTCCGTCTACTATGGGCACTCTTAAAGTGTAATTCGACAAACCGGATGTCTGGCCTGCCCCTTAAATAAATCAGTTGCCCGCATCTCATATTCCACCCCCGCTCGTTTATACCGTACGTTTCCTTCCCGTTGAGGAAAAATGTCTCTTCAGAACTACGAGAATGCGTCCTTGAGAGGAAGTAATAGTCATCGAGGAACCCCTCGAAAGAGCGATCTGCGAGATCTACGCGAAGGAGGAAAAGTGAAATTTCGAAGCCCTAGTAGCAGCATTAGGCAATATCGGTTTGCGCTCTGACGCATTCCCGTATTGTTACAGCTTTTACATTATGATATAAAATGTCTCGTATGGAATGCGTAATATCCCATATACGAAACGTTTCGTGCAAGTGCGAGCGATTGGAATTGGAAATCGCTCGTGATATTCCCCGTAAAGCATAACGCCGACGCGCGTTCACTGTCATCCTCACGGACGATAAATTACGATCGCTTATCGAAACGGCCAGCATATGCATCGTATGTGTATTCGATGATTTGAAGCATGACATTTCGCGCGGAATCGCATGAGATCGCGAAGAAACGTAACTTATTATCGCAAATCGCGTTTTCGAATCATTGTACGTACGTATTAATTGATCGTCGTAACATAATGCCATATAATTATGTAATTAGAGGCCAGGCATTAGTCTCGCTGACTGGTTTACGGGCGAGATATGTAAATCTCTGCAATTAATTTATTGGTGCTCAAGAGCTCGAGAGAAGGCTAAGAGAACAAGACATAAACGAGGCGGCGATAAGGACGGAGAAACTAGCGGATCCAAGTCGGACAGAGTGGCAGATTGGACAGAGACAGCGATAGATTATGGAGGTAAGGCAGCACATTGTAAGTATGCCCATCGGCTGGACCCAGATCAAGAGTCTTCTTAGTCGTTCCGCAAAGCGGAATAAGAAACGAAGACAAAAGAGAGAGAGAGAGAGAGAGAGAGGGAGAGAAAGTAAAAAAGAGAGACAAACTCAAAAGAAAGAGAGAAAGAGAAGAGAGTCTAGTCTCTGTCGGTGTAGTCTTGAATTTCTCGGCGATACCGGCGGGCGTATATAGGGATCATAAATTACGATTTATTGCAGTGGCAGCGCCTCCGCTCGGCGGATTATCTTACCGTTATGTCAGCACACTACAATTATATTTACATTTCCTTCGTAATGGAATATCATGCCCCAGCATCGTAACCGTCCAACCGAGAACTAATCGAGACATATCTGAGATGGATTTGCAAGGTAACCGAGCTACCTGCCACAGAAGTTGTAACGTCGACTTAATCGTTGCCCTTAAAACATCCTTAACAGGAAAATCGACAAATTGTCTAAACATTCAAATCAATACACGAAACTATCATGATAATTCGATCGTAATTTTCACCATTTCCAAAGTAACGAACACACACACTTAACATTTGAGTAAAAAGTTGTACGTACTCGAATAATTTTATCAAAAAAAAAATTATCTCCTTTCGTCGATTGTGTATTTAAGTCACAAATATTTTTCATAACAGATTTACGTGTAAAAGAATTAAAAAAAATGCGCTGTAGGTGGAAGTTTAGAGGCACTAACTACATACAGCCATGCTACATCAAGCGATTAAATGGCCACGAGTTTAGACCTTAACAAGGTGTACACCTGACCGAGGAATGATTTTAAAATGGTCGTATAAACGAAACAAATTTATGGTTGAGATGAGAGGAAAGAGTGAGAAGGAGACAGCCTGTTTTGGAGCTCCGGCTAGTGTTCATTTCCTTTCACGGGATAAACGCACGAGTGAGCGACGTGTTAGATACAACACGGAGGAGAAGATGACCGACCAGTCATAAATATGAATCCGGTATTTGGCGCGTTGTCAATAAAACGAAATCCAGATTCGTACTGTTGCTTTTACGACTCCTACTGCATCAGGCATCCATCGCGTTTCTGGCTGCTGCCACGGCGCGCGGCGATGCGTTATCGGAAACACGTTTGCCACAAAAACGAGTTTCGGTTCCAAAATTAAAGCAAATGACTAGATTTCTCTACGTCGTAAAATTCAGCAAAATATTGACTTTTTCTGAATACGATTATTTCTAATGCAAAACTATCATAACAATAATGACTGAAATACATTATTAGACTAGTACCAATTGTGTGTGTGTGTGTGTGTGTGTGTGTACAAGATATATTTATAACTTATTGTAAAGTGTAAATAAAATAATATGATATATTGATATTTAATATCGTTTAACTTCGTTTAATTATGTTAATGTAGAATTATAATCAA